ATCACATTGAAGATTATTTGAAAGGATTTACTGACATTAAAAAGGATTCATGATTCATATTTTAGACTTTCAAGGGTGAAATTGGGACTTTTAAGTGTCAAAGGATAGGGTAGTAATTTTTCACAATCTTAATTAATTTTCACAAGTTTTGTTTTGTTCCAATATTTGAATACCGATTTTATTCAGTTTATTTTGTACTGGAACATAGCAAACTGCATCAAAACTGCACCGTAATGGAGTGTGGTGTGAACTGCAAGCAAAAATGTATCCAAAATGCATCTGGAGTGCATTTTTGTGGTGTGAACTGGCCCTAAAGCCATAAGTGTCCAAAATACCTTTCCTTTGTTTTCATATTAATTGTATATTTAATTTTTAAACTGTACATGTGCCTAAAGCTACGGATGTGTTTACATTGTTGATAGATTTTGAAAACAGAATTTGTGCCTATTTTTCTGCCAGACCGTAGGGTCTTGTTTTTTGTACCTATGTGTTTGAATTCCTCTAGTGGATATCCCCTTACCTTCTGCCTTAGGCCCAATGCACACTGGGTGTGTTTTTGTCGTCTGAAAAGTCGGAATCAGCTGTCGAAAGCACTATACTATCAATCAGACCGAACCATTGTTCCTCACATTGAAATTTTCATATGATTTTCCGATCGTGTTTAAGGGGCATTAAACTTACATCAGAATCAAAACTAAACAAGACAAACAGACTGAAGAATTCAAACCGCCAGCTATGCGCACTCTCAATCTCATGAGTGAGGCACCTGATTAGACCATTCTTGCAATAGGGTGTAGCCTCAAAAGATCTTTCAACTCTCCTGCTATCATCTTATCTAGATCCTAATGCCACATTCCAGGGCTTAATAATTCACACGATAGGAGGTTACGTAAAGAACTTCTTTTCTCCACTTTACCGAAATCCAAAATACAAGACTGCATCATAAAATTCATTCAGGGGCAGAGACCTTAGTGCCGACGTCATGCAGCTGCATGATATTGGTCAGCAGGGGCTTTCAATGTGAGTTACAGCAATTTTGCATTAATATATGTATGTTTGTTTGGCATGCTATGTATGTGATTCTCATGGTGCAATAAATGCTACACTATTACCATCTCTGATGTCTTCAGTGTGAGCTTTTTTAGCTGCAGCTTAGATCAGTGCTGGAACTGGAGAGAAGAGCACTGTGGATGGATGCATAGGCTAACTTGGCTGACACCTACTTATGATGAAATGCTAAGCTTGCTACACAGTTTCCAGCATATTTTCTGGTGAGTGCTCATATCGTGAGGTGGTGGCTGGTGTTTCTTTACACTGACAGAAGTCTGACAACAATCTGAGTCATTGGTGGCGGATTTATAATACATATGTTTTTTGGACTACACAGGACTTTTTAGTACTTCATACACTTTTATACATAAATAATTTACCTTTATTGTGATATCATACTGCAATATATATTTGTGTTGATTTTTGCACTTTACATACAGTGGGGATCGAAAGTTTGGGGCACCCCAGCTAAAAATTTGCATTAATGTGCATAAAGAAGCCAAGGAAAGATGGAAAAATCTCCAAAAGGCATCAAATTACAGATTAGACATTCTTATAATATGTCAACAAAAGTTAGATTTTATTTCCATCATTTACACTTTCAAAATAACAGAAAACAAAAGAATGGCGTCTGCAAAAGTTTGGGCACCCTGCAGAATTTATAGCATGCACTGCCCCCTTTGCCAAGCTGAGACCTGCCAGTGTCATGGATTGTTCTCAATCATCGTCTGGGAAGACCAGGTGATGTCAATCTCAAAGGTTTTAAATGCCCAGACTCATCTGACCTTGCCCCAACAATCAGCACCATGGGTTCTTCTAAGCAGTTGTCTAGAAAACTGAAACTGAAAATAGTTGATGCTCACAAAGCTGGAGAAGGCTATAAGAAGATAGCAAAGCGTTTTCAGACGTCAATATCCTCTGTTCGGAATGTAATTAAGAAATAGCAGTCATCAGGAACAGTGAAAGTTAAAGCAAGATCTGGAAGACCAAGAAAAATATCAGACAGAACAGCTCGCAGGATTGTGAGAAAAACAATTCAAACCCCATGTTTGACTGCACAATCCCTCCAGAAAGATCTGGCAGACACTGGAGTTGTGGTACACTATTCCACTATAAAGAGATACTTGTACAAATATGGTCTTCATGGAAGAGTCATCAGAAGAAAACCTCTTCTACGTCCTCACTACAAAAATCATCGTTTCAACTTTGCAAATGAACATATAGACAAGCCTGATGCATTTTGGAAACAAGTTCTGTGGACTGATGAGGTTAAAATTTAACTTTTTGGCCGGAATGAGCAAAGGTACGTTTGGAGAAGAAGGGGCACAGAATTTAATGAAAAGAACCTCTGTCCAACTGTTAAGCATGGGGTTGGATCAATCATACTTTGGGGTTGTGTTGCAGCCAGTGGCACAGGGAACATCTCACGAGTAGAAGGATAAATGGATTCAATAAAATTTCAGCAAATTTTGGATGGTAACTTGATGCCATCTGTGAAAAAGCTGAAGTTAAAGAGAGGATGGCTTCTACAAATGGATAATGATCCTAAACACACCTCGAAATCCACGGGGGATTACATCAAGAGGCGTAAACTGAAGGTTTTGCCATGGCCTTCACAATCTCCTGACCTCAACATAATGAAAATCTATGGATAGACCTTAAAAGAGCAGTGCATGACAGACAGCCCAAAAATCTCAAAGAACTGGAAGACTTTTGTAAGGAAGAATGGGCAAAGATACCTCAAACAAAAATTGAAAGACTCTTGGCTGGCTACAAAAAGCGTTTACAAGCTGTGATACTTGCCAAAGGGGGCAGTACAAGATATTAACTCTGCAGGGTGCCCAAACCTTTGCAGACGCCATTTTTTTGTTTTCTGTTATTTTGAAAGTGTAAATGATGGAAATAAAATCTAACTTTTGTTGACATATTATAAGAATGTCTAATCTTTAATTTGATGCCTTTTGGAGATTTTTCCATCTTTCCTTGGCTTCTTTATGCACATTAATACAAATTTTCAGCTGGGGTGCCCAAACTTTCGATCCCCACTGTAGATATGTGACTGATTGCTGCACTTTGTAATTGTTGCACTCTGATTCTGTGGTGCTGTAAGTGATTATCTGTATGGTTTAATAAGGTTTTGTAGATCAACCTTTATGCTAGCAGTCTCCTTTATCACAGACTAGACCTTTTATATTATATAATTGGATGATAAAAATCTGGCCAACAACCATTTTTCAAGGGATCCAAATGCTGTCTTGAGGCATGACAATAAACTACATGTATTTCAAAAAATTTGGAAAATGGAGTGTGTGTGTGTGTCTGTCTGTACTGATGTACAATAAAACAGAGCCAGCAGTACATGGCCAAGTTGTGTAAATATAACATCGTGGGATGTGACTCCCTTATTATATTTAAACCTGGCAACAGACAAAGTGGCAGTTAAATCATTGGCAATGTTTGTTTGCATTGTTGAACAACTCCGACAGCTTGTTGGGAAGTTCCAGTTTGGCCAATTGACTACTGTCCCTATGAACGATTTGCTGCTGGGGTTGCAAACTATTCAGACAGTTAGCCTTTTTATGTCCTTGGTTTTATAAAACCCAGTTTTATTGGGTATTTAGATGACAAAATAAGCAGCATCCCCTTTGGTTAAGGGTTTGGGGCCTGTTCCAGCCAGACATTGATCTACCACTAATTCTCACATCTCTGTTCAGCACTGGATTAGACTGCGTGACTACATTGTGCCAGATCGCAGTCAGCCTGGGATAATCCCAACAAGCTTCATCTCGTCTTCTAATAGGATTGTCCAGGATTTTATCATCAACTATTCCTTTATTCAATTATTTTCATTATCTAAATGATTACATTCAACTGCTAATTCAATGTATTAGATTAGAGGCCAATCCATCTGAGTGTTAATTATCCAAAACATGTGATCTCAGCAGCTGGTTGTGCTGCTTTTGGAAACACGTTGTTACTGCTAAACCAATTTCCAAATAAACAGTTTATAAAACATTCATACACACAATTTCCAACCTGCTAATAGGTCATACAGCATATTCATGTTATGTTAAATTATATAGCTGGGTAGTAGTATACATTTATACAGTATATTGTCTGCCGTTTCATATTTGAAATTGCACAAATACAGCTGTGAAACATACTGTTTTCAATTTCTGTACACTAGGGATGAGCCCAGGTGTATGTGGCTCATTGTCCCACCTGAGCTTTCCTGCCAGAAATCGCTCACTGCGCACCACGGTTGATGCATTCTGCGTGCCACAGCTGCGCAAGTACAAGGGAAATTGAAACGTGCTGCTGTGGGGTGGGGAATGCCTCAGCCACTTTTGATTGGTAGTGCGCAGTGACAGCTTTCTGGCAGGATAGTTCCGGTTAAGCTCATTCCTACTCAACACAAAGTATGCTAGTTTCTGAGTGCACCTCTGTTCACCACTTTGAAATAAAAAGAAATTTAAAAAAACAGCCAATTATGGGTATCTGTAAGAAATCTACAACTTCGCTCTTAGCTTGTTATAGTTCATCCTTTACTTTCAGCAATAGGTGAATGTACTGTTATTTATCTGTACACCCACAAAGACTAGTCTATGCACTGCCTGAGCTCAGGGCAGTATCCTTGTCACTTCCTGTGAAAATATTCAGCTTCTAAAATGTACACTAACTGGGTAAGTCGTGAAGGAAAGAGATAATTTAACAACAGCCACTGGGACAAAATAATTTCAGTGCTAAACAGATAAGCAGCACATACTAAGCACTAAATGCAGTAACCGCAAGAAACCAAATAGAATTTGTTTTACTGCAGTCAGACCAGCACAATGGGCTCTGCTTAGTTGCCATGGGTCATTATCATTAATCCTTAATCCACCTTCCACTTATAATAAAAATAGACAGCATTATTTTTACAGATACAAATAATCTGTTGCTTTCCTTACCTACATTTCTTAAACTTTGCACAGTGACAGCAAATCCTTTTGTTCTGGGTAGGAGGTGATATTTCAATTTGGGAAGGCCTTTGGCTTCTGCAACTTGCATGCTGATTTCATGTTTCTTCTCTGTGAAGCGTGTGCCCTCGCAGTGAATTAGAAACTAAAATGAAAAGACACAATTAGTACTGTTTTGTGTGTACATACTCGACAACAAGATTTGTTAAAGAAGTTATGAGTTGCTAATATTGAGTAGAATTCAGTCTTTACCTATGTGAGAGGCTCCTGTGTTGGAGCCCATCAGATAGAGTTTTAAAGGGAAATGAAGAACCACTCTTTTCGTGGGTCACCAGTATTCCACTATACAGCCTTAGCAGCACAGTATGCATAGTTGGGGGGGTGAGGAGGGAGGTTGTATTGTAGGAATTAGGTAGACTTTTTTGTCAGTGTGAAGCCCAGTCAAAATAAAGTGCATCTAACCCCAAGAACAAAAATGATATGTATTGCAGCTAACATGCATCCATGTTTCATTTATTTTCACCTGTTGATCTTGTCAGTAACACTTCCTGTTCTACGGTGACAACACTCACTAACTCTACTATATGTATGGAGCAACAGCATTGTTATTCTAGGACAGGAAATGTGTTAATACTATAGACCAACCCCCCGCCCCCCCCCCCCCCCCGCCATCTTCATAAGATAGAGGGATGAGTTCTGTATCTCACAGAGGTAGTTCAGATAAAGAGGCCAGATATTGGGAAATGTGCATTTAATGGAGAGATGTAATAAATACATATAGTATATTTTTTTTGCCTAGACATACAGTACATTTTAAGGCTGCCAGCTGTGAGCTGCAGATTAGATTGCCTTTAGATAGATAGTTGACAACCCTCTAATCCACATATGGGAGCTATATGTTGGGTGTGAAATGGGATAGGTGTGTAGGGTGAGTTTCATACTGTGGTGTGTGGTATGCGGAGCACATTATTGGTTCTTGGTGTGGGCTGCTGAGGGAAATGATGCATGCTGCTGAATGTAACAGGGTGCGTGATGGGCTATGCTGAGTGCATTTGTGTTACATATTGTAGTGTGCTGAGTGTATTTTAGAGAATTGTGCTGTGTTCTATGGTTATTTTGGGGGTTTTTGTTTGGGGGGGAACCAGGTGGAATGTGTCCAGCCTATCACATGTTTTCACCAGAGAATTCTCTGCCTGACATATAACTGCTGATTAGCAGAGTGTCATACTGCTGCTTGGGGTAGGTTTCGTAGGATGTCGTTCTTGAAGAATGGAAAAAGATATTGCAATATGTGATGCCGCCAACTTGTGCATTCCATGCCTAGAAAACTTGGTGATGTTTTTACAAATCACAGAGGTCATACAAAATACTAGTTATATTATTAACCTTACTTTCATGTAATGAGCTAAACAAATGTTCTATAAAACTCAGTTTTGTCAACATTTTGGAAATAGTTCTTGAGTTCATTGAGACATTGATTAAAATCTTACTTTTCAAAAGGGGTGTACTTTTTTATGCTGAGCACTGTATACAGTGAGGAACAGAAGTATTTGAACACTCTGCCATTTTGCAAGTTCTCCCACTTAGAAATCATAGAAGGGTCTGAAATTCACATTGTAGGTGCATTCCCACTCTGAGAGACAGAATTTAAAAAACAATTCAGGAAATCACATTATATGATTTTTAAAGAATTTATTTATATTGCACTGCTGAACATAAGTATTTGAACACCTAAGAAACAGCAAGAATTCTGGCTCTCAAAGACCTGTTATTGTGCCTTTAACCACTTGCCGCCCAGCCACTGTTGATATACGGCGGCAGGGCGGCACTGGCAGGCAAAACCACGTTTTAAAACGTGTGTTTTGTAAACAAATAGGGGGGCGCGCGTGAGGCGCGCCGCCGCCCTATCTGTCCCACCGATCACCGCGGCAGATGTGAGTCGCCGGGTCACAGCCGGTCCTTACCGGCTATCTCCCGGCGATCGGCGGAAAACAGTGACAGACAGCACAGCTGCAGTAGCTGTGCTGTCTGTCACTTCCCTGTCAGCTCGAGGATGAGCTGATCGAGAAAGAACAGTTTCTCTTTCTCGATCAGCCTTGTCCCGTCCAGTACACACCCCCGCACCCTAGTAAAACACTCCCCTCACTCCTATAACCCTTCCCTGCAAAATAAAGTTAACCCCTTCCTCCCCATTGCCATTAGTACAGTGTCAGTGTCTTTTTTTTTTTTGCACTGATCACTGTATTAGTGTTTTTGGGGATGTCAGTGACCCCAAGTCAGTACCCCCCAATGTCAGAATGTCCGCCGCAGTCCCGCCATAAGTCGGTGGTCGCTGCTATAAGTCCCTGATCGCCGCCATAATTCGCTGATCGCCGCCATTATTAGTATAAAAAAAAAACTAAAAATCCCAGTATCTTTCCCGCCATTTGTAAACGCTATAACTTTCACGTAAACCAATTAATTTACACGTATTGGGTTTTTTTTTAGAAAAGACATGTCGCGCAGAATGCATTTTGGCAGAAATTTATGACTAAATTTGATTTTTGCATTTTTTTTACTGGACATGTTTTATTGCAAAAAGTCCAAAATATTGTTTTTTTTTCCTCAAAATTGTCAGCCTTTTTTTTTATAGCGCAAAAAATAAAAACCGCACAGGCAATCAAATACCACCAAAAGAAAGCTCAATTTGTAGGGAAAAAAAGGATGTACATTTAATTTATGTATCGTATTGCATGACCGCGCAATTGTCCGTTAAACTAGCACAGCGCTGTATAGCAGTAAAATGGCGTAAATTGCAGTATTTATACCATAGTTTGTAGACGCTATATTTTCCACACAAAGCAATCAATATACACTTATTGGGATTTTTTTTTACCAAAAACATGTAGCAGAATACATTTTGGCCTAAATTTATAACCAACTTTGAGTTTACTATATATTTTTTATAGCTGAAAGTAAAAAATATTGTTTTTCTTCCAAATTTTTGGCCTTTTTTTGTTTATAGCGTGAAAAATAAAAAGCGCACAGGTGATCAAATACCACTGAAAGAAAGCTCTATTTGTGTGAAAAAAAAGGACGTAAATTTCGTTTGGGTGCAGCATTGCATGACCGCGCAATTATCAGTTGAATTAGTGCAGCGCCGAGTAGCAAAAAGAGGCCTGGTCATTAGGGGGGGTAAATCCTCTGGAGGTCAAGTGGTTAAAAAGGTCCACCTCTACTCCACTCATTAATCTAAATTAGTAGCACCTGTCTGAGCTCTTTAAAGACACCTGTCTACCCCACAGTCAGTCAGACGCCAACTACTACCATGGGCAATACCAAAGAGCTGTCAAAAGACACCAGAGACAAAATTGTGGACCTCCGCAAGGCTGGAAAGGGCTACGGGGCAATGCCAAGCAGCTTGGTGAAAATAGATCAACTGTTGGAGCAATTGTTAGAAAATGGAAGAGGCTAAAGACGACTGTCAGTCTCCCTCGGACTGGGGCTCCATGCAAGATCTCACCTTGTGGGGTATCACTGATGATAAGAAAGGTGAGGAATCAGCACAGAACTACAAGGGAGGAGCTGGTCAATGACATGAAGAGAGCTGGGACCACAGTTTCAAAGGTCACTGTCGGTAGAACACTACGCCGTCATTGTTTCAAATCATGCAGTCCACGGAAGGTTCCCCTGCTCAAGTCATCACATGTTCAGGCCCGTCTGAAGTTTGCAAATGACCATCTGGATGATTCAGAGGAGGCATGGGAGAAAGTCATGTGGTCAGATGAGACCAAAGTAGAACTTTTTGGTCTAAACTTCACTCGTCGTGTTTGGAGGAAAAAGGATGAGTTGCATCCCAAGAACACCATCCCTACTGTGAAGCATGGGGGTGGTAACATGCTTTGGGGGTGCTTTTCTGCGAAGGGGACAGGACGACTGCACTGTATTAAGGAGAGGATGAATGGGGCCATTTATTGTAAGATTTTGAACAACAACCTCCTTCCCTCAGTCAGAGCATTGAAGATAGGTAATGGCTGGGTCTTCCAACATGACAACGACTCAAAGCACACAGCCAGGATAACAAGGAGTGGCTCCATAAGAAGCATATCAAGGTTCTGGAGTGGCCTAGCCAGTCTCCAGACCTAAATCCAATAGAACATCTTTGGAGGGAGCTGAAACTCCGTGTTTCTCAGCGACAGCCCCGAAACCGGGCCAAATTCAATGTTGTAGTGTGTGCAAACCTGGTCAAGAACTACAGAAAACGTTTGACCTCTGTAATTGCACACAAAGGCATCTGTACCAAATATTAACACTGATTTTCTTAAGTGTTCAAATACTTATGTTCAGCAGTGCAAGACAAATACATTCTTTAAAAATCATACAATGTGATTTCCTGAATCTTTTTTTTAAATTCTCTCTCAGAGTGGGAATGCACCTACAATGTGAATTTCAGACCCCTCCATGATTTCTAAGTGGGAGAACTTGCAAAATGGCAGGGTGTTCAAATAATTCTGTTCCTCACTGTGTATATGTATGTAATTACAACTAGTATAAATACCTGAACCTGTTTATCATTCTCTGTAAATCTGGCTACACACTGTTAAAATTAACAGATTCCTTCATCCACTAAAATGCAGCTGCTGATGAGAGAAAATATTTCCAGCATGTCCCTTTGACAGAATTCGATCAAATGATTGAAATATATCTGGCCCCTTAAACGGCTGAAATTTGATCAGTGTATGGCCAGCTTTACCCTGGTAGAGGGAGGTGCAGCACTAGGCAATGAGGTCTTGCTGCATATACAAGTGTATAGTGTTATATTCTCCAGTTAGGCAAGACTTTAATTGAACTGTACCTCACACAAACTGGGATAAGTCATGCAGTAACAATATGTGCTGCTTGCAAATAAAGTGTATTTAAACCTAGTAACAAAAATATAGTATGTTGCAGTTTGCCTGTTTTGACGATACATTTTTTATTTCTTCTGGTTCCTGATGAAAAGGACGAAATTCGCTCAGTTGATGGCCCCTTTCACCACCCACTTTCCTGACATCCATCAGTTGAAAAATCAAAGTAGATGGATGGAAAATCCAACCGCATACAGCCACTCTTCAGATATTCTGACAGCTGCTGGTGCCAAGTGTCAAAATACAATAGCCAAAGTAGTAGATTCCTCCATCCTCACTGTATGCCTGTTAGATGCTTTTGTTCAGCCTGCAGGCCAACTGTGTATAGACAGCATTAGAGGTGGTTGCTGAATTTGTTTTCTTTTTAAAACTTTATTTCTGACTTAGCAGTTATTTTCTGCCAAGATTGCAATTTTAAATTCAGTTTTAAATGTATTTATAGTTCATTATAAGCACGCCTCAGACATGCAAAACAAACACACACGAAAATTATTATTTGATCCCCTGCAGATTTTGTAAGTTTTGTCACTTACAAAGAAATGATGGGTCTATAATATTTGTCATAGGAGTATTAAAATGATAGAGACAGAATATCAACCAAGAATTCAGAAAAAAAAAACCACATGATACAAATGTTATTTTACTCACTGAACTGCAACTCAATTTAGAAGTATTTGATCCCCAAGCATGTTTCTTCCTCCAAACATGGAGAGTAGAGTTATTGTCAAAGAGCTCAATTTTTGTCTCATCTGACCACAGCACTTTCTCCCAATCCTTCTCTGAATCATTTAGATGTCCACTGGCAAACTTCAGATGGGCCTGTACATGTGCCTTCTTGCGGGTGCTGAAAGATTTCAATCCATGGTGGCGTACTGTGTTACCAATGGTTTGTTTGGTGACTGTGGTCCCAACCGCCTTGAGATCATTCACAAGCTCCACCAGTGTAGTTCTGGGATGATCCCTCACTTTTCTCATAATCATTCTTACCCCATGAGGCGAAATCTTGCATGGACCAAGGGCGATTGATGGTTATTTTGTATTTCTTCCATTTGCAAATAATCTTTCCAACAGTTGTCTTCTTCTCACCAAGCTTCTTGCTAATGGCCTTGTAGCCTATTCCAGCCTTATGCAGGTCTGCAATCTTGTTGCTGACGTACTATGACAACCCTTCGGCTATTTGTCCATAATGATGGTGAGGTTTGAATGGAAGAAAGATTCTGCAGACAGGTGTCTTTAATAGACATAATGAGTTGTCGTTAGGAGCACCATCTTAAATTGACAGGACTAACCTGTGTGCCACATGAGCACATAGCCAGTCTGTGGGAGCCAGAATTATTGTTGGTTGTTAGGAGATCAAATACCTATATTGCTCACTGAATTGCAACTTAATTTATAACATTTGTATCGTGTATTTTTCTGGATTTTTGGTTGATATTTGTCTATCTTTTAAAATGCACCAATGATTAAAATTATACACCCTTCATTTCTTTGTAAATGGGCAAACGTACAAAGTCTGCAGGGAATGAAATATATATATATATATATATATATATATATATATATCAATAATATTATCATACTTTGCTTACCCAAAAATGTTCAGGGTAGTCTTTAAGATTCCTTAAGCCTTGCATAACTGTTTTCCGATCTTCTTCCCATTTTCGCTTACAAAACACTATCTCTAAGAAGTACCACATCCAGCCGATTACTGGCACGTAGGACAACTCTTTCTTGGCTAGGACTTTTGAGCTCTACCAAACAGTAAAAGTAAAAGCAATTAGGAGAAACGTACATTTCTATGCACAACAGAAATCAATAACTTAGGCTGGTCCAGACACAACTTCAATTACTGAATCCTATCAGCACATAATGTGTACTGTACTGTACACTACTACATCAAAAAAGTGTTATATTCCCTCAAGTACTTCAGTATAAAATATACACCCTTTTATATCAGACCATGGACAAAATAAAAAAAGATATATATCCCACAGCATGTCCTTGGCAATAATACTGCCTTTTTTGTAAGACACCATAACATACTATAAGTTTTATTACTTGTTGATTCTGCCAGTAGAGGTGTCGATTTTCTGTAACAGGATTACAACACAGTTCAACCGCAGTAAAAAAACTGCAGAATTGTCAACATTAGTCATGTAGTTTTAGATGGGCTAGTAGGCAAGAAACAATTCAGGGTGAGCATGGATGCTGGTATATCAAAACTGCTGTTCATGTTCAGAAATGGTACATTTGTCCCGATGACCACAGACTTAGTTCTGAAAAGCTACAAACGAACACCTACAATGTTCAAGAGCACTTAAAGCAGAGTTCCACCCAAAAGTGGAAGCTCCGCTTATGTGCCTCTTCCCTCCCTCCGCTGCCACATTTGGCATCTTTTGAGGGGGAGCGGGTACCTGGTTTTGACAGGTACCTGCTCCCTCTTTGCACCCCCTTGCAGCCCTCTGGGAAACTCAACAGGTCCTAGAGGACTGCGGCCCATTCACAGTGCACAGTGCGCTTCACACATGCGCAATAGGAGACCAGCTGTGAAGCCGCAAGGCTTCACTGCTGGTTTCCCTTAGTCAAGATGGGAACACCAGCACCCGACAGCTGACTGAAGAATCGGCTCAGGGTGAGGACACCACTGGATCCCTTCACAGGTAAGTGCCCTAATATTAAAAGTCAGCAGCTACAATATTAATGGAACCCATGCACGTCTGCAAAAAAGCAGTGCACCTTGTGCTATGTGGGAACACGTGTTCCCAAACCACACTTGGTCTGAACAAGCACTAAAATGTAGTTTGTGAGGCAGAATTTAGCGATCAGTAGGTTGTGACACAGAGTTGCCTGTGTACTGGCAGTATAAAGTGGTAGGATCAGTTAATGAACAGCATGGTAGTGGCAGTCAATGAGAAGAAGCATGGAATTCCTGCTGAAGAAGCTTCTCTCCATCAGCCACTTACCACAACACTGGAGATGAAAGATTGCAGGACTGCTATCTCTGCTCTTCCGCCTTCAGCTGCCAGACCAGACATATTAGCCACCTGTACGAGGAGGGAAGGAGGTGGCCACACCCCCAGTTCCACCCACTACCTCTAGCTGGAAAGCACTACAGACAGGCCCTGAACTCCACTGACCTGCAATTCCCTATAAGCTGTGAAGGCAAGTGAGGGGAAACAAAGGACCCTGAGCAGGCTCCAGATGTGCTACTTTTTTACTCAAACATAGAAGATTGACAGTAGCGTGGTCTGCCCCAATTTTTGCCCCCCCAAATTTTTTTCATTTTTACAATTTTTTTTGTTAACGGTTTTGTTAAGAGTATAGATCTCTTTTTATTCGAAGCATGTTTGAATCCATTTACCAATGACTGACTCACTACCTCTGCTGGAAGTCTATTGCAAGTGTCAAATACCTTTTTAGTAAAAATACTTTTTAGGATTAGTTCTGAACTTTCCTCCTGGTAGTTTGAAGTCATATCCCCGTGTTCTGGATCTTGGCTTCCTAATGAAAATCCTGCCCTCCTGAACCTTTTTCACCCCTTTAATGTATTTAAAGGTTTCAATCATGTCTCTCTTTTCCCTTCATTCCGCCAGACTGTACATATGAAGTTCCTGAAGTCTTTCTTGGTATATTTTATCCCTCAGACCGTTCTATCTTATTAATATCTTTTTGTAAGTGAGGTCTCCAGAGCTGGACAAAGTATTCTAAAACCAGCCATACATGGATCACAATTTTGTCCGGTTCAGCAGGGACTAGCCAAATTTCGATTCATGTATGGGCACCCTGTTTGCACAAAAATCGCTCTACCAAATAACTTCTGTACAACTGCCCCATTGGATAAATGCTGCTCAATCACACACACAATAGCTCAGTGGGAGTGATTTCCCTATCCATCTTGAATGGGTGGATAGGGGAATCAGGTCAGTTTTTCCGTTCAACCTAACGGCTGAATGAAAAAAAAGAAGAAATCTAATCCATCTATTGTCAGCTTAAATGGGATCCAACAAAAGAACTGGTGACCCATCTAGTCATGCATCTTAGAAATTCTATTTGCTTTTCCCACTGCCTGGTCACACTGTTTGCTCATTCTGCAATCATCTGAAATAAGTATCCCCAAATCTTTTTCCTCTGTTGTGCTGGCCAACACTGTACCCCTAATACTTTACAGTAAATTAATTATTTTTCCTAAGTGCACCGTTTTACATTTAGAAGCATTAAACTGCAGCTTCCACTGCTTTGACCAATCTTTCACCAACGCAAATCATGTTCCATGTTACAGACACCTCCAGGGAAATCAAACCTATTGTATACTTTTCTGTCATCAGCAGACATACCTTACCCAAAAACCCTTTAGTTATGTTATTTACATTTACAGAGGTTAAAGAGAACATGACCTAGTACAGAAGACTTGTGGTATACCACTTATGACTGGTCTCTGTGCTGAATGAACCCCATTTATAACCACATTCTGGTATCTATCCTTTAACCAACTGCAAATCCACTGAACCACCCTAGATGGTACAACTTTTTATTTGATCATTGTGTGGAACGGTATCAAATGCTTTGCTGAAATCAAGATAGGCTATGTCCACAGCACCACCCTGGTCCAAAAGATTAGTGATATTCTGCTTTGGATCTAGCAAGTTGGATGTTTTTTAAGTGATCGGTGGTCCCTTTTTACAGTGGTTCCAATAACTTAACAATAGATCTGGCCACTGGCCTGTAGTTGCCTGCTTCTACTCTGCTGCCCTTCTTGTAGATAGGTACAATATTAGCTGTCTGCCAGTTATGAGGAACTTCTCCTGCTACATAAGATTGATTAAAAAAAATGTTAATGGTCCAGCAACTATACCATAATGTTGTCTTAGAATTCTAAGATAAATACCATTTGGGCCCATTGCTTTATTATGCTTTACCTGTGCCAATTCCTCTGCTACCTCTGTGTCCACAAATTCTGCAAATGAACCATCCTTACTAGAATCAACATGATCCCCCAACTTGTTGCTGTTAGTACAATTTATTTCTGAGAAGACTGAACAGAAGTATTTGTTTAAAAGGTTTGCTACATCCAGGTCTCTTTTAAGATACAGTAAGTATTGTTTCCAGTTTTCATTTTAGTGATCCTATTGTATGTTTTTCCTTCTATCACTGATGTACCTAAAAGGTTTTTTGTCTCCTTTCTTAATAGATGTAGCCATTTCCGCCTCTATCTGTGCTTTGGCAGCTTTGATGTGTTTGGCCTCCTTTTGCAAGTAAGTGATGCAGAGTTCAGAGGTCAGTAGGGAGAGAATAGAGTGCAGTAGTAAGTGACCATCTGTCTCACAGTACAAATAGCCCTCCTCTGCACTGATTATTTCTGTTCTCCTGCCTGGACTCTTTACAGTATCAGGGTACTGAAGCTCCAGCTCTTTTCCCCCTTCTCCTATTCCCTGGTCCAGTAATCAGGGTTAAATTACAGTTAATCATAGCCCTACCTATTGGACTAGGACATAGGAGAAGGAGGAAAAGAGAAAAAGCTGCAGTACCTAGAATATTGTAAAAAGTCTAGGGAGGAGGAGAAGAGAGGTAAGCCAATCCCCCTTTCGTGTCTCTGCTGCACTTGTCATAGACAGCTGCAGCAAACACTATTTATTTATGCCAACATGAGTGGAGTGGGGGGCAGGGCTATTATTGGCTGTGATTGGCCTACCATTCACAGCCGTGAATCATAGTGTCACTCCTACTCAACGCAAACAGTGTTTCTGCTGCAGCTGCCTGTGACAAGTACAGCTACAGAGGAGACACAGAAGTGGAAATGGAACAGCATTTTTCCACATTTGTTGTACAATGTATGAGGGCACAGTGGGTCCCACATCCCTTGGGGCCCATGTGCATCGCACACATTGCACAAATGGATGATATGCCACTGATAGAGATGTTAAAATGGCATCATACGTGGAAATCATATGGTGTCGAAGGCCCTCATCCTGCTCAATGTTCCATTTTGCCGTAGATAGCTTCTTTCATATCTCTTGCAAAGCAGTTGTCTCTCTATATCCAAAAATGTGCACATCACTGTCATTGAAAGAATGTCCCTTTTCTTTAAGTGGAATTCCAGCTTGCCAGCTAGCCGTAAAACTGTCCCCCTCCCTTCTCCTAACCCCTATGCTAACTAACCTGTGTAAGAAAGTTGTATATACTTACCTATTTTCAGGCCACTCCAGTCCAGTCACATGATCTGGCTCCCCTCTATTACCCAGCATAGCTGCAGGGCAGAGGCAGGAGTGGTTGCAACGGATGCACCTTTGAAGCCAATGTCAGAGTGCTCTCTCTTCTCCTCTACTGGCTGACACAGGAGTTCATGGGACCGGATAGGGTTTAAAATAGGCAATTATATACACCTTTCTTCAACAGGTTAGTTAGCATAGGTGTTAGGAGGGGGGTGGAAACAGTTTTAAGGCTAGTTAGGTATATGCCGGAATTCCATTTTATGGTGTAAGAAAATGGCCAAATCTTGATCTGTAGATTTTGCCCTCCTACATTAGACCATTCATTTATTGAGAGGTTTCTTTGCCTCCCAAGTGGTGCAGTGGTTTTGCATAGAGCAGCCTGGATCCTCCTCTTCTCGGGTCCCCTGCAAACTCTCCTCCTCTCTCTTTCTTTTTGTCAGGTGCCCCCACAGCATGCAGCTTACTATGGGAGCACCCGCTGCTCTGTGTGTTCATTCATACATGAAGCCACAGTTTGGCCCAGCCCCCTCTCTTTCCTCATTGGTTGACTGGCTGTGAGTGACAGCAGCAGGAGCCAATGGCTACTTCTTGCTGTCTCAGCCACTGAGGAAGAAGAGACCTTGGGCAGCAGAGGCTGTCACTCACATCCCTGGAACATGATGAGGCTCAGGTAAGTATTGAAGGGGCTGGGGGCACTGCTGCACACGTTTTTTACTTTCATTCATTTTAAGGTGTATCTACCACCTTTGTGGAAATAAATGCTGGGGTATTTTCCTGACACTCATTAAAACAGAAGAAGTAGCTTGGATTAGTTAGGAAACATCCTCAACATTTCATTGCAAGTCCATAAGAACGTGACAAATGAATATAACATAACCTGGAAAAATGCAAACCTTCACAGACAATCTAATGCTTACGTATGCAGTATATGAATCTAGAAAACTACTAGTGCTAGGCAGTAATTTTAATAACATGCAGCTTTAGTCAAAGCATTTTTTTTTTTAAGTTTTGAATGGGAAGGATTGGACCCTCTGTCAAGTTTGTAATGCTGTCTGTGTCCCCATTGGTTAGAGATTCACCTGTTTGTGACTGTTGTCACCAAGACATAAAGTGAGTGAAAACTGAAATTTTAGAGCTGTCCTCATAACGAAAGGTACGGGGAAATCTCCCACTGGGGACACCTGTTTTGGAGATGACAACTCATTTGGGAGATTTCCCAACTTTCTGTTGTGTCTCTGGTACAGGAAGTGTAATTCTTCCAATGGTACAGAAAACAAGAGGTGTTCTCTGGTGCACAGACTAGGAGGTTTAATAACAATGCTATCTGAAAAGCAGTGAAGCAAAGTGTAAAGGACCGTATTAGAATTCGAGCAGGATTAATTGTTAATTTTTGTATTCTCAAACAATTATAACAAAATGCTTTGTATTGTATGATTAATACACCCAAAGAGAGCAAATAAACATTTATTGTTAAGGTTTACATACAAATTCTACAAAAGGAAATGTGCTGCAAAGACTCAAAGAAACGCATTAGATAAAAACCCCATGGAAGCATTTCAATATCATAACAATAAGGATGACATTAGCTCATTATTTTGATGCCATTAAATGGAAACATATGCTTGTTGTAGTAGCCACAAACAAACTTTTATAAAATGTGCTTGGCTTCCATCCACGGAAGATAATGTAGGTAAATGATTCTGGATGGACGTTACTTTACAAACATTAATGCACCAATTTCCAAATATGTACCTATCTAAGTTCATGGAGAAAGGTTACAATGAAAAAGCGGTATTAAAGAAAAAACATTTTGTTACCTATAGCAACAGAACTCAGAAGGCTGTGGGACTCAGTGATAGCTTTCTCTCTATCCTCAATACGTTCATGTTACATTTTGTTACAAATAAATGCAGCATATTTTCCCTTTCTCTGTTATTTCTTTGTGTGCCTCTAGCAGGATTATTTAAACTAGAAAAGCTACAATTTCTGGGGAAATTGTGTGAAGTGTTCTTGCCTCCACCAGTAGTCTACAACTGGAGTGGGCGGAGTAACTGGGTGGAGTGGCTTGAGTAACTGTTGTGTGGTTGGAGTGGCTGGAGTAAAATGGCTGGCATGAGTTGCAAACAAATGGTCATATTGTGAAAACTATCAGGACTATGGCTTAGCTGTGGCTTGGACGTGGTTTTTAGTGGCAGCAGGGATAGCTGAACGTTTTGATATACAATTTGTGTAGGTGGGCTTGAAAATGAGGGAGTGATGGCAGTTTAGAAATCATGTCCTGATTTTTCATCTCACACTCTAGCTTTTGTCAGCTCCCACTCTAGTTTTGAACATTGCGCCATTCATTCCTATGGGACCAATTTCACCACAAAAACGGCGATATTTCATCAACTATTCGGCGAAACGTTCCACAAAGTAATAGCACACCAATCGGGAACAATCCGCACGTTTCGGTATATTACTGTCTATGTAGTGTAAAAATAGTAGGAGGAGTTAGGGTGGTAAATTTGGCTATAATAATAAGAATATATGTGTGAGATAACAGTAAGTGGTCTTGCCATGCAAGAACACTTAATTAAGTGTTCTTGTACGGCAAGACCACTTACTGTTATCTCACATATATATTCTTTTTAAGTGTTCTTGCAAGAACACTTATTGTTATCTCACAAATATATTCTTATTCTTATTATTATAGCTAAATTTACCACGCTAACTCCTCCCACAGTTTTTACACTACAAGTAACAAGACAAGTAATATATCAAAACGTGCGGATTGTTCCCGATTGGATTGCTATTACTTTGTGGAACGTTTCTCTGAATGGTTCACGAAATATCGCGGTTTTTGTGGTGAAATTTTCCCATAGGAATGAATGGAGCAACTTCAGTGGGAGCTGACAAAGCTAGAGTGTGAAAGGAAAAATCAGGACATGATTTCTAAACTGCCATCACTCTGTCATTTTCAAGCCCACATACACATATCTTATATCAAACCGTTCAGCTAACCCTGCTGCCACTAAAAATGTACACGGCTAAGGCATAGTCCTGATAGTTTTCACAATATGACCATTTGTTTGCAACTCACGCCGCCCATTGACATTCATTGAAACTCCACTCTAGACACCTGAAATTTGAAGGGCAATTTCTAAACTGCGACTGTGCCTTTATTTTCAATATTTTAGAGACATACTATGCATAAAAATGTAGGTCTGGGTCTTGTGAGTCTCACAATATAAAGCTCTTTGGTGTAGGATTTATAGTTTTAAAACTACAACTGTTTGAAGATGGCAACCGCCAGTGAAGTGAACAAGTTGGAGCAGTTTGTTTTTAACCGCTCCTCTGCCCTTGCTGTAGAGTGAGTTGCTATAGGAACCCAGGTGTGTGAGCAGGCAGCAGAGTGACAAAAGCTACTCCACCCAGGTTACTCCGCCCACTGCAGGTGTAGACTACTGGTGGAGGCAAGAACACTTCACACAATTTCCCCAGAAATTGTAGATTTTCTAGTTAAGGTAATTTTTGTACCAGTGCCAAGCTGCATGCAGACATCACATAAAAGCTAACAGATACAAACCTGCTGTACGGATTTACCCACACAGCCAAGTATGCCAGATGCTCAGGGATAGGTGCATGGTCCTGGACACAGAGCCAGTGGATAGGCTGTGTGGTAGAGTCTGTGCAGCCGATTCATATTCATTCATTTTTTATAGGCTGCCTGCATGCAGCTCAGCACTAGTGCAAAAAGCAAACATGACTTTTGCATATTGCATAGGGCTGTGTGGCTATATGAATGGGCCCTTGATCTGCATTTTGCCAATAATTAAAGGGTTGATTGTTTAGCAAGTAAGCCAAGTATCTAATACTTTATCCTCTGGCCCTTTTAGGTGCCAGGGGCTACAGAAACTCCTCAAATAACGCACTCCTCTTTCCTTTTGTACAACAGCACTTGGGCCTGGCCACAGCCTGCTCAGACACTGAGCACTATGTTATGATAGGCAGGGGGAAGTGTAATGTGTCCTCTCATACCTAGAATTACTGGGAGTTGTAGGCCTTTTGTAAGAAAATGTTTCACAATAAAACTGCATTTTATCATTTTTCAAAAATAGCAGCCCTTTATCATTTTTCAAAAAATAGCTGCCCAATGGCTCAACAAGACTCAAAGGTTTTTCAGCGATAAATATGAGCTCATATTATGTACAAGGGCCCTATAAGTAGTTTCACCTACCTTCTTGTGATGATCGTCCAATAAAAGCACTTCAATGACAGTGGCAGCGACAACCTAAGACCAGGATTATGTAAATTACATTTCAATTCCAAGAACCCCATTCTGAAGAGAAATATACAACTTACCGGTATTACCTTGCTGTAATAATCACATGTATGTACATAGGCACGTACATTTTTATGAGTCAAATTAACATTTTCATGGAGTCATAGCAACATTCAAAATGGCCACCCTTCATTGTTTTACACCTACATTAGATACCCCTCTGATATGTTTCTGTGAATTTCTGCATGGATGCATGCAATCATTTAGATTACAAAGCCGATTACTAATTGTTTAATTTTTTGCAAAGGGTGAATGTTAGAGGTGAAGGTTCATGCACAATGGCAAACCAAGCACTTGCTGCATGCATCGCAGTGTGCCCAACATATTTACACTCACCAACGACTTGAACATCAGAGGCTCAAATGATAATGCAACTAAGCATCCACTTAGCAGGAGGAGATACAAAGAACAGCACAACTTGAAACTTGATAAAATAAAAGCACACACAATATACTCTGTCCCACACCACTCCATTTCAATTTTGGGTAGAATATCGGATATTAAACATTTTATGTGTGGAAATAATAAATTTGGAAAATTTTTTTTTCATGAACAGTCTAAAAGCGTTTCAAGAGCCTTCTAAATCCACACAGAACACAAAAAAAATATTAAAGCCATCACGACAGAGTTGATGGCAGAATTGGCAGGCTGTGGGAGAGTGAAACGTTTGAAATAGAGCCTATATAGAGTAAAGTTTTACTCATACTAATGTTTTTAGCAATATCATCCCACATCCTAAGTATATCTATTTTTTCCTTATGTTTTAACATTTGGTTTTCTTCCAAAGAAGTTGCCCCAAGAATATGGGTTGTATATTTAAGGAAACAAAAGTTTGGATGAAAATATATATGCCATGCTGTTGAAGTTCACACTGTGCAGGCACAATTAGAAGACTAATTTATTTAGCAGATACTCACCCCCAGAACTCCAAATCTTTCACAGAAATTCCAGCCACACAGAAAGTCGATTTCAAAGTTGTGATTAAGAACTACTATTGCATTTTCTTTGCCGTATTTGGGGTAGCTTTCAAGGTCAGTGTACAGAGTACAATCCGTGCCTGACCACCACTCCAACAACATCACCAATTCTGAAAAACAAACAATTATCAGAACATACTCAAAATAATCTCCCATATACAGTATATTGAAAGCAGCAAATAAATGTGTTTATTGCAAATTACCCTTTTTGTCCACTGTGTAAAGCATCTATACATTTGAGAATATTGTCCATGTCAAAATTACCTATAGATTCTGTATCTATGAAATGTTAAAGCTGACCTCCAGGCAGATATGAAGACACAAATAAATACAGATCTACATTTATGAACATTTTTAATGCAAGAAGTGGAAGTTCCTGAGTTTGCAGTCCCTGTACAGAAGAACTCAGACTGGGGGAAGGAATGCAGCACAAGAAGCCAGTCAGTTGTGCAGCAGTGCATGCTTAAAGGTGGAGAAAGGAGAATGACAGAAAGATGAGTTCATCAGTCTACTATTTCTACTTTTACTGGCTAGTCCCATAGTGGGGTATGACATGTGGCATTATACCGCAGAGCACTGGAAAGCACCACGTCACCACACTGCAAGTTAAAAGTTAACTGCTCACACTAAAACAAAGCATTTAGGGTATGGACAGTGTGAATGAGCGCTTATTGTTACATAACTGAAGCAGAGAAAGATAAGGTCTCCTTCCCTGCTAAGACAGGACTGTGTGGTGTGTAAGAGCTGTGTACTCTCAGAACTGGATGGACAGAAGTACAAATTCTTTGTCAGGTAAAGCATCTACCTAATATGTATTTCATTTGTGTATTTATTGGTTTGCCTGGGGTTCATCGGCATTAAAAGAAGCAACTGTACATAGTTTAGGCATGTTTTGTGGTCTTTACTTAAAGCAGAGAACTGGAAAAAAAGGCGCTGTGGAAAATGCTCTCAGACAAGCACCTTAGTGGAGGTGCATCTTTATTGGGTGAGATAAAGTAGCAAGTATAATAAAATTAACCAGCCTGAAGTGGACAGTGTGATTCCAATGGACGGCCCGTCCGCTCTGAGGGGAGCTGAGATCAAAGAATGCTCCTGTCGGCTTCAAATCACGTGGTGTCAGCGTACCAGCGTCCTGGGTGGTGTCACCATGGCAAACGAAGGCAGTGTCCGGCGTTGGCTTCAGCTGGGAGCATATGTGGGGTTACCAAGACGACATGTTTCGCGCAGTTGCGCTTTGTCAAGTCTCTGGTAACCATGGCCGGCGGCCATTATATAGAAGACCATTAAAGGGAAGGCTGGCTGAGTGTAATTAGCAGGGGATGGGGTGTCAATCAGAGCGGACGGCTCGTCCTGAAGCAATGCTGAATACAAATTTAAAGGTACAGATTGCAAGTTATAAAAAATGATATGTATAAAAACAATAGCATTGGAAAGCATGATATACTTTCATCTTTAGTGAAATAAAGGTAATACAATAAAAAAAAAAAAAAAAAAAAAAAAAAAAAAAAAAACACACAAGTTAAAAATGACATCGCTGGTTCATGGAAGCTATGTCAAAAATTGCGTTTACAGTGAGGTAATTATGGGTATATGGGCAAAGAAGGGAGTAGGGAGAAGTGAATGCTAGGCATATGAAAATGACTGTATCAAAGGTATATGAAAATGACTGTATAAAAGGTATGACTAAAAGGAATATAATAAAATCAATCCTGGTATCAAATTAGGTAGCTCATATGTTCATAATTAAATAAATATAATAGATGCGTAATAACATGTATTCGTAATTGAGTGCACAGAATATATACATGGTGACAGTGCAGATTAAAAAACAACGATTAAAAGAAGACAATACTGTATGTAAAAAAAAAAAAAACACACTGGAGGATCCTAGTTCCGGGGACTAGAAGTCAAACTTGTTAAATAATGCTATGGATTTCAAGATCCTCATTGAGACCATTGGGGGTCATAGAACCTAATTTGTAGATCCAGAACGTCTCTCTCTTACACAAACGGGCTAGTCTTTCATTGTCAGTAAATGTACCCTTTGGAATATGTTCGATTGCTAAGACCTCAAGAAGACTGAAATTATTTTGATGGGATTGCAAAAAGTGCCTAGGGACACTATGCTTATCGCATCCATCTCTTATAAGTCTTCTGTGCTCCCCTATGCGTTTGCGTAGAGGGCGTGTGGTTCGGCCTACATATAGGAGCTTACACGGGCATGTGAGAACGTATATGACGTGGTCAGTTGCACACGTTATAAACTGACGAATGTGGTAGCTGTTGCCCTGGGAGTCCAAAAACTGTGATCTACCATGGGTGATGGACTGACAGGTGAGACAACCTCTTTTGTTGCATCTGTAGATACCAATTCTGTCGTCAAATGTAGGAAGGGGGCCGTTGTCTATGTAGGTGGACAGTGACATTTTGCTTGGGGCTAGAATGTTTTTCAAACAACGGGCTCTCTTGAAAGTTACTTGTGGGGCGCGTGGGAGATTAGGTGCTAATCTAGGATCTAATTGTAAAATGTGCCAGTGTTTGCGAATGATGTTTGTAATATCACGATGTGATGTGTTGAAACCAGTGATGAACCTAACCGAGTTAGACTGGTCACGGGCCTGAGTGTATGTTCGTCTATCAATACGCTATGTTTGGTATATGCGTTTTTTATAAGGGAAGGGGGATAGCCTTTCTCAGAAAACTTTTTTGAAAGGAGAGAACCTTGTTCTTGGTAATCACATAATTTTGAACAGTTCTTCCTTAGTCTTTGGAATTGGCCACTGGGAATATTATTTTTTCCAGGCTGGATGGTGACAGCTAGAATAGTGTAGATATGGGTTCCCACTAGTGGGTTTGGTGTAATTTGTACTACAAATTTCATTATCTGTGACTGACAAAACCAAGTCTAAAAAGATTATATCTTGAGAGTTAAAAACATGAGTAAAAGAAAGTCCAAGGTAGTTTGAATTGCAATATGCGACAAAAGATAAAAATTCGTTCAAATCACCATCCCAGATTAATAAAATGTCATCAATATAGCGCCCAAAAAAAATGATATATTTGGCAAAGGGGTTGTTTATTTGTATATATTGTTTCTCCCAAAAGCCCATTGTGAGATTGGCGTAACAAGGGGCGAAATTCGCTCCCATCGCAGTCCCTTTAGTTTGCAAGTAAAATTGGTCAAGGAATGTAAAATAATTATGGGTAAGGCAAAATTCTGTACATTCAATAATAAATTTGGCTTGGGTGGAGTTGATAGAACTTTCAGAAGATAAGAAATATTGAAGAGCCTGTAGGCCTATGTGGTGGGGGATTGATGTGTATAAGGAAGTTACATCAAGTGATGCCCAATGATACCCATGTTTCCACTGATAATGGCTGAGGATTTCTATCACATGACTGGAGTCTCTGATGTATGACGGCAATTGTACAACTAATGGTTGGAGAAAATGGTCGATGTATTTAGAAAGGCCATTAGTAAAACTATTGGTGCTTGCAATAATAGGACGGCCAGGGGGATGTGTAGTAGATTTGTGTATTTTTGGCAAATGATAAAAATATGGGGTACTACAAATAGGGGGAAGGAGAAAAGACTTTTCTCTCTTATTAATTACGCTATCATTATAGGCTTTGTCAATGAGTAATTTGAGGGCTATTTGATATTCTGGTAAGGGATCTGCCTTTAGTAACTGATATGTATCGATATCGGAAAGGAGACGAATGGACTCATTGATGTAATCACTGGTGTGTTGTACAACAAGACTTCCTCCTTTATCAGCTTGCTTGATGACAATGTTTTTATTGTTCTCTAAGTCTTTTAGGGCTTGTGCTTCGGAATTGCTCATGTTATAACTGATAGGTGGCTTATTGCACAAGCTGAGAAGATCTTTATAAGCTGCCTGGTAGAAGGTCTCAATGTATGGTCCCTTGGACTGTACTGGAAAGAAACTGGATTTGGATTTAAAACTGGTGTGAATGATATCTGGGTCTAAGGAAATCTTAGGTGTTTGCATGTTAGAAGGATGGCTTTCCATCCATAGATCCTCTAGCATCTGGACTAATATTCTATCATCTTCTTGAAGAGAAGTGTCTGTATTGATAGTATGAGAATCAATACTAATAGTTTTGATCAGTGTCAGATGGGGAGATATTAGAAAAATGTCTTTTGATAGTTAAAGACCGAACAAAACGATTTAGGTCTTGAAATAGGTAAAATTTGTTAGGACCAGATGCAGGGGAGAAACTGAGTCCTTTCCGGAGTAAAGATAGCTCATCATTAGATAGTATGTGTGAGGAGAGATTAAAAATCTTTACTGTACTATTGTGCTCGGTGAGTCTAGTTTCTCTTTCTTTTTTAGCCTGGAATCTCTTTCCACCACGTCTGCCTCTTCTAGTTTTCTTTTTTCTTTTACTGTCCCCATTGGGAGGGTCTCTAAAAAAACTTGTGAAAGGGAGCTGGGATCACTTTCTGATGGTAGTCGGGAAGGGGGTATAGAATTTCCTGTGATGAAGGAATTTAGGTCCTGAGATAAAGGACCATAACGGTTTGGAGTAGGAATTGAAAAAGAATTGTTTAGTGGTAAATCTGTGCTAATGGATGAGATGGGATTGGAAAGATTATTACTGGAGGTTGTGACATTGTTGGGAGGGGGAGGGTTAGGCAGGGAAACACCAATGGCATCGGAATGTTGAATTAATAGATTAATAGATGTAGATTCAATGGATGATGATGGTGTTGGAAAGGTCGGGCTGGGTGTATGTTGGATGGAGGAGGAAGGGGGAAGGGGTTTTAAGTAATTATGAGGTCGTTTATGTTTGTTAAATTTTTTGGGAATCTCTGTGGGGGGAAACTTTGTAACAGAGGGAATATTGATCTTACTTTGTTTTCTGTTCCATGTAAAGATGTGACCTAACTTGTAGTCTTCGATATCTCTATCTAATTTTCCTAGTTTTTTGGATACTATGTCATCCTCATTTTTAAGAATATTGGTATCTAATGTTTTTCTCCATTTTTGGTAAAGACATGAGGAGCTGAACTCTTGAATTTTATTTTCTTTTTCCTTAATTTTGGTTTCTGCCAGTTTTAGTTTGCGTTCCCTTTGTTGGATGA